GAAAATATTTACTTATATACATTTAATAGGATCTGAATATATTAACTCATATAGAAATTATCAGATTTATCAACATCTGATCTAGACAAAATATTCTATATACATAGTTTTCACAAAGTATCAAATTCTTAGTTTCTTATGTATATCATAATTCATATTCTAATATAGATTAAAATGTTAAAATATTAGTACTTACGTATTTCTGTACTGTTTATGTCAGGAAGTCAGTAAGATTTCAAAATAATTCAAAATTCACCAGATCTAACTTTCAATCGTACATAAAACTCTGAGATCTTTCAAACTGAGTAAATATCACTCACTAGACAATGTAAAACCCTTGACCAATGAAATGTAAATGTTCAACCAATGAATGAATGTGTGAATGAAATGTATAGGTGGATCAAGAGGGAAATGGGTGGCAACACTTAATACTTTATTAGTAATAGAAAGACTTTAGATTTTAATTTATTTAACTATCTTAAATCTATTTTATTTATTTATCATTTATTTAATTATTTAATAAAATATACATCTACTACAGACTCCCCCCCATTAGTAAATGACGTCCCCGTCATTTCCCTAATGGGACATTACCTGTAACATGCAGCAACACTATTCTTACAAATCACTGCATTCACTCCTCACTGCATCTGAAATATATACAAATAAAATCAAATTAATTATTCTTTAAAATATCAAGCATTGTTTGCACAATTTTATCTTCATATTTTTTCATTTCTTGGGACTTCTTCAAGTCATGAAGAAATTCACATTTCTTCATCCATTCCAGTGAATGTTGTTGGGTAAATACATATTCCTGGTTGCTCATCCAAGCAGGTTTTCTCCTCTCCCCTCCACTTCTTCTTGGTATTTGTCTATCTTCCTCTGACCTCATGCTATCATCTCCATCCACATGATCTACTTCTGCATCTGGCTGCTGATGCTGCTCATGCGGAATCTCTACCTCAGCATTCTCCTGCTGCTGTCCCTCTCTAGGAATTACTTCAGCATCCTGCTGCTGATGCTGTTCCCCTGGAATCTCTGCATCAGGTTCCTGTGTTCTCTCCTTACCCTCAACATTACCTGCATCATGATGCTCTTCTTCTTCCATCTGGTTCTGTATATCTCTCTGTACCGGTACATATACTACTTCCATTTCTTCATCTGAACTGCTTTCCTCATCTCTATGGGATATAACTTCATGAATATCCTCTTTCTCTTTACTCTGTTGTCTTGTTCTGGGTCTAGGCCTAGGTTTAGGAATTTCTTTTACCTTCTCGAGTTCTTCATGAGTTTTGTAATTGTTCAGCTGACTAATTGGGAGAAGTAGATTTCTATGTAGTGTTCTTATTTTACCCTTGGTTGTTTCTCTCTGGATCTGAAATACTGGAATGTTTGGATCTGGTTGGTCTAAGACTATATAAGGTTCTTCTTCCCATTTATCGGAAATTTTATGTTTCCCGTCAAAAGATACGATTTTAACTAACACCCTGTCACCTGTCTGGATCTCTGCTCCTCTTACTCTCTGATCATACCCTCCTTTCTGTTTCTCTTGAGCTCTCTTTGTATTCTTGTTGACTAATTCATATGCTGCCTTCATATTCTCTTTCAGGTCGTTGATATACTTTGAAGTTGACTTCCATTCTGTTTTCTTGATCCCAAATTCTTCATCTATAGGCAATCTAGGGTTTCTGCCAAACATAAGATAATAGGGTGATATTCCTGTTGACTCATTTCTGGTGCAGATATAGGCATGTACAAGGGGATTGATGTATAATTTCCAATTCTGCTTTTGGGATGGTTTCAATGTGCCTAACATATCAAGTAGTGTTCTGTTGTATCTTTCACACTGTCCGTTCCCCATTGCGTGATAAGATGTTGTCCTTGATTTCTTCATTCCTGTAATTTCACAAAGCTCCTTGATAATCTGACTTTCGAAGTTTGCACCCTGATCCGAATGTATTCTACTGGGAATTCCATAATAATTAATAAAGTTGTTAAATAATGCCTCTGCAGTTGTTTTTGCAGTCATATTCCTTGTTGGTATAGCTTGGGCAAATCTTGTGTAGTGATCTGTGATGACTAGTATATGCTGGAATCCTCCTTTACTCATTTCCAAGGCAAGGAAATCCATACACACTAATTCTAAAGGATATGATGATGTAATACTGACAAGTGGTGCTCTCTGATTGGTAGCTTTTCTGTGTGTACACATCTGTTGCAGTTCTTAATCCAGTTGTCTATATCCTGATTCATTCCTGCCCAGTAGAATCTGTCCTTAATAAGTGCTGCTGTTCTTTCTCGTCCTGGATGTCCGAATTTATCATGAAGTTCTGATAAAACTTTGTCCTTGAATTTTCTTGGCAGAACTAATTGTTGATTTAATTTCTCTGCAACTGTTGTTTCCCTGAAAAGAATGTTGTTAATTAAATGAAGTTTATTAAAATTTCTAACCAATGCTTGTGATTCAAATCCAAATGGTAAGTCTTCCAGTCTTGGTTTCTGTTTGCGTCTAACAAAATAAATCCATGTTTTAAGAGTTGGATCTGAACTCTGTTCCTCATGCCAATTCATCTCCTGGTCAATAATCTTTTGTGCTGACATGTTCTTGTCTATAACTGTTGAATCTACAGAAAAAGATGTTATGAATGGACCTGAATGTACCGCCTGACACACTGCTCTAATAGAATCCCTAGAAATAGACTGAAATTTGTCATTAGAATTAGGTCTTCTTGATAATGCGTCAGCATCCTGGTTCTGCTTCCCTGGCCTGTAAATAATGTTAAAGTCATAGGCAGATAGTGCTGCCAACCACCTATGTCCTGCAGCGTCAAGTCGAGCTGTCGTCAAGACGTATGTCAGTGGGTTATTGTCTGTTAAAACTGTAAATTTGTGTCCGTACAAATAATCATTAAACTTTTCTGTGATTGCCCACTTTAAAGCCAGGAATTCTAGTTTATGTGCTGGGTAATTTCTTTCGGTGGGACTCAAACTGCGACTTGCAAAACTGATGACTCTCTTTTGACCATGTTGCTCTTGGTATAACACTGCTCCTAATCCTGATTGACTGGCATCTGTATGTAATTCAAAGGGCAGGTTATAATCAGCAAATCCTAAAATTGGAGGAGAAGTCAAGAGTTTCTTGAGATGGTTGAAAGCTTCTTCCTGTTCTTGTTTCCATCTGAATTCCTTTCTTGCTTGTTTACGCATCTTGTCCTTGGTACATTTACTGTTGGTTTTTGGCATAAGTTCAGTTAATGGTTTAGAAATTTTGCTGAAATTTGGTATAAATTTTCTGTAGTATCCAATAAATCCAATAAATTTTCTGATTTCTTCTGGAGAACGAGGTGTTGGCCAATCTAAAACTTTCTGAACTTTTTCTGGGTCGGTTCCAATGCCCTCCTCTGACACAATGTGACCTACATATTTCACTTTCTTCATAAAGAGACTACATTTCTTCGGAGACAGCTTTAATCCTGCTTCTCGTAGTTTGTCGAATACCAACTGCAATCTTTGGATATGTTCCTCATAAGAATTGGAAAATACAATCAAATCATCTAAGAAAATAAAACAAATGTTCAAATGAAGATCTCCTAAGCAATTTTCCATGAGTCGCTGATAAGTAGCTGGGCTATCGGATAATCCGAAAGGAAGACGATTAAATTCATAAAAGCCTAACGGTCCTACAGTGAAAGCTGTACGTTCTTTGTGTTTCTCTAGAATTTCAACCTGGTGGTACCCTGACTTCATGTCCAACACAGAGAAGTACTTGTTTCCGGAAAGGGCATTCAGAATTTCATCGATTCTTGGTAGGGCATATGCGTCTTTCTTGGTTCGTTGATTTAGTTGACGGTAATCAATACACATCCGTAACTTGCCATCTTTCTTCCGACATATAACAACATTGCTGGAAAATGGTGAACTGGATTTTCTTATCACCCCTGAATCCAAAAGCATTTGTAGATGGTTTCTTATTTCCTCAAACATGGCTGGTGGAATTCTTCTTGTTCTTTGTTTGAATGGTGTTTGGTCTAGTAGATCAATTCTGTGTCTCACAGTGTTGTTGAATCCAATGTCTGTCTCATTCTTCGAAAATATGTCTTTATAATCTTGCAGTAATAGTTGAATTTTCTCTTGTTGTTCTTGGGTTAAACCTTCTGATGATATTTTAACCTCTTGTAAGTATGAATAGTCTTCTTGTCTAAGCTGAGTTGTTTTGTCAATTATAGCCACTGGATGTAACTCACATATGATTTCTCTGGGATTGATGGTCACTGTTCTTGTAGTTAAATTGCTTATGTGGACTGGAATTTCCTGTCGTTCGCTGTAGTTATATGAAGCAATTGTTGGTTCTATATCCAGGTCTTCGGGAATTCTGGAGTAACTAGTGGCTTGTAGTAATGCGCATGTGCTCTGGTATGGTACTTTCTTATCCGTAAATCCTGTTATAACTACTTGGCTGTTTGGTGGTATGATGGTACGTTCTGATGACTTAATAACAGCTAGCCTAAAATTCTGCCTAATCAATTCCTTTTCTCTAAGTTGCAGACTCCTAAAGGCTAAAAACCATGGTGTTGTTAAGGCTGTTTCTTGTAGAAATCTTTCTCCATTTTGTACATGTGTATTCTCTAGTAATACTTTGATGATATTGGTACCAAGTAGTACTGGAACTCTGTTGCTGTAGCTGGAATCTGGAACTATCAAAAATAAACATGGCTGTGATCGACTATCTGGAATTCCTAATGGTTTAATTTCCAGTTCTATGTATCCCGAGTATGTCAAAGCATTTCCATCAGCACATTCAATATTGATGAAATCTTCAATAGGATGGATGGTTTGTCCTTGTAAAAAGTTTTCATAAAATGACTGGGAAATTGTTGATACAGTAGATCCAGTGTCGATAAGAGCTTTTGTTGTTATTTCTCCAGATATAATAATTTCAGTTTCTGTTGATTCTCCAATTAACTTTGGTAATCTGTTGGGGCTCTGCATACTCTGACCTATCGTTTGCCCCTTGGCGAAGGTCGATATGCGTTTAAATATCCCCTCTTCATATAATCACCTCTGACTCTGCATCCTATCTGTAAATGGCCCTGCTGACCACATTTCCAGCATACTGGTGTTTCTCCTTGTGGTCTATAAGCTGTATTTTGGTTTACAAATTCTGGTGTCAAAGGTGTCTGTTGATACTGGAATCTGTTATACATTGGCCTTCTGAATCTGTGAGGGCCTCTGTATCTTGGTGTGTAATTTCCTCGTACTATACTTCTACTCTGATGTTGATCATTTGCTCTTTCTCTTTTTAACGCTTCTAATTCTGTAGATAATCTGTTCACAGTGGTAATCAATTCCTCAGTTTCATTTGATTTCTTTTCCACATTTGTTCTTTTCGCTGGTATAGGTTTATTTTGTTTGTCTGACTCACTTTTCCTTTTCTCTCTGTCTTGCTCCAATATCCTCATAGCTCTCCTTAAATCATCAAATTCTGGGTACTTATCATAGAGATGACCGGATATGTCCTTTAAACTGGTTCTCATCCCTGACCAAAACATGTTTCTCAACATATCATTCTCATCATCTGGATTCACTAGTCCTTGTATGAGAGCTTTTGATAACAAGTCTTCTAACCTGCATCCCCAGGCAGATACATCTTCATTTTCCTGCTGTTTGGCACTGTAAAAATTTGCCAGCAAAGACTCTTTCTCCTCAACTAAACCATAGATGCTATCCAGCTTGTACAATATTTCATCTACTGATGCATTGGGTCCTAACCTCATCAACACTCTACTTGCTGATCCTCGTAATGATCGACGCATAGCTAAACAAATAATATTGTCAGCATACCCATCTGTTTGTAAACATTCAACTTCATACTTCCACTGATCATACAGTATATCACACTTTTTGTCACCCGAAAATATTGAAATTTTTTTTATTTAAACTGGGACACCACTAAGAGGGATATGTGCTAGTGGATTGGGTTGGGTGGATGCATGGGCTGAAGTATTGGGAGGGGTAGACGGGTGGGATGATAGGCTTTGTTTGGGTAGGGACTGGGCTGGGGTTTGCTAAACTGGGCTGGGGAGGGAAACTGACTAGCTGAGAACGATTTGCAGACAGACTGGGTGATTCAGTTTTTAATTTCTCTGCATATTGCAAAACCCATTGTTTAAATTCTGCTGAGCTACCACTCTCAGGCTTAATCTCTAATTCTTTCATTATATCTGATAAATCAGACATCTCATCTTGAGTCATATTATTTGTTTTGTAAATCATACTTGCCATGATGACCACAAATAAACAACACAAATACAAATTCATATATCAATGAAAAATAAGTCAGAGACTCAATAGTGATATTTGATAAGCTTCATGTAAAAAGAGAAATTGAATAAGAATAAATTAAGACATCAATTTAACCCCCCCCCCCCTTACCGGTTTCCCTCCTAAGATAATGCTTACGTAAGATAAAAAAAAATCTTTAAAAATGTATCAATAATCGTTAGCAATGCAAATTTTATTACTAAATCAAAATCAAGAAAAATAATCCGCCTACGGAAATCAAACACAATATAATCAATATTATTTAAAATCAATGAGTTCATTTTCCTGCCGTAAGTTTGTGTTTAATTTACAAAAATATTTCATTGAAATGAATGACTAATATATGAAAATTGTATTTTATTAAGCACACACACACACACAACTGTCAGAAATATTTCTATCGGTTTATACAATACTATCTGATATTTATTTTAAACAGCTGCTAAATGTGACTGGTTTTAAATTTAATTTAATAAAACCGTAATAATGCCGGATATAGAAAATCCAAACCGAGGGCAAAACGTGCGAGAATCGTGTTCAAAGCAATATTTTAAATAAACCGTGTTTAATTGTTTGTGTAAACCGTGTAGCGTTTCGTGCAAACCGTGTAGTTTAATTGCAACGTTTCGTGCAAACCGTGTATTAAATTGCACTAGGTTTATATCATAATATAAATTAAATTATGTGATAGTTTGGGTTGGGTGGAATCATGGGCTGAAATTGCATGATGGGCTATGTTTGGGTTGGGACTGGGATGGGGTTGCGAAACTGGGCTGGGGAGATATTAGTATAAGGATTTGCATACAGACACACTTTTTATTTTCTCTGCATAATACAATACCCATTGTTTAAATTCTGGGTATAGGCTTAATCTCTAATTCTTTCAAATCTGAGAAATCAAATTCATCTTGATCAGAATGAATATTCATATATCAATGGTAATTAAGTCAGAGACTTAGTGATTTGTGCAATGCAGTTGTTTGTCACATGTTTGCTGGATTTAAAATTGTATTTTACTTTTAGATTATCTAATATTTACAATATTTTAAATGTGTTTTGTTTACTCTTGTTTAATTCAACCTTATTAAATGCACTAGGTTTATAATTAAATTTAATTTTTTTTTTAATCAAAGCAGACTATTAGTATATGCACCAACCTATTTTCTCTAGACTGGTATAAGATGGATGAATTAACACACAACCCGAATTTCCTCAGATCAATATACAAATGTCACCTGTTAACAAGTTCTTACCTTTCAATAGACCAGGTCAATGTCAATTGAAGTTATAATTAGTGGTATGAGTTTTCAATAATAATAGATTAGAACCACTAAATACACAAAGCAAACCACAAGGTAAACAAACTAAGTAATGGCAAAATTCTAATACACAATGACGTACACACAAGTTTGGGTCAAATAAATGTTCAAACACTGAAATAAATAATAAATATATACACCTTAATTAAAGGAGTCAAATATATTTACTTTTTTCAACGCTGTTGGTCCATGATATCCGCGAATGATCATCGACGAAGGCCTTTGTAACACTAACAGTTAAACATGTGCACATTGTAAACAGAGAAAATTCAGATTACTCACAAGTCAGTGTCACTGAAAAGCTTGGTCGGATATTTCCGGAAATGTTCACAGGAATGGCATGCACTAAACAAAATAATCGGATACTTCCGGAATCGTTGTACCACTTGGGATATGAATCGTCGTGGTGACGTGCACGTCGTTCGTTGTGACATGGAGGAGCGCTATAAATGGGTTGAGGTTCAATTACGTTGGGCGCCATTTTTGTAACGGGAATCCCGGCAATAATAAACTGAAGAACTTTCTGGTTTCATAAGTTTTATATCAATAATTATATTGGCTCTGAAATTAATATAAAATATATAATAACATTAGAATGGTACAAATAAAATATTATAGTAGATATACATAGGAGTCATAATTCAAATAGTGTCATAAATGAATATTTCACTCTATGGAATGTTGTTACACTTTACATGCACAAAGGGCAATAACTCTTACAAGCTAAACATACTTTCCAAAATCGTGAAGAGTTATCTTTCATATGTAACCAAAATAATAAAACAGTAATGCATACCGGTTTGTGGAACCAAGTCCATCTGACATACTGTGTGGATCTTTTCAGATATGATGTTACACTATATCAATAATAAATAAATTCCTAAAGATATGCTCTTTACAATAACTCTGTATTTACATCAAAATACTTCTTATGAAAATATTTACTTATATACATTTAATAGAATCTGAATATATTAAATAACTCATATAGAATTATCAGATTTATCAACATCTGATCTAGATATAAAATATTCTATATACATAGTTTTTACAAAGTATCAAATTCTTAGTTTCTTATGTATATCATAATTCATATTCAAGTATAGATTAAAATGTTAAAATATTAGTACTTACATGTCTCTGTACTGTTTATGTCAGGAAGTCAGTAAGATTTCAAAATAATTCAAAATTCACCAGATCTAACTTTCAACGTCTAAAACTCTGAGATCTTTCAAACTGAGTAAATATCACTCACTAGACAATGTAAAACCCTTGACCAATGAAATGTAAATGTTCAACCAATGAATGTGTGTGTGAATGTGTGTGGGTGAACACTGTATAGGACTGATTTTAATTTATTTGATATTTTAAATCTATTCATTTATCATTTATTAAATTATTTAATAAAATATACATCTACTACATATAGTCACGTGATTTCTATACACAGGTAAACATTCCTCCAAGGTGCTCACCGTAAAACATCGGCAGGTTTTGTTTTCATTTAACAAGAAATATTCGTATGAATACTATTGTCATTCATAGATTAGACATAAACATTCGTGCAAGACTTTAAAGATTTTAATTTATTTAACTATTATTGTTTTTTTAAATTTATTTTATTTATTTATCATTTATTAAATTATTTAATAAAATTGTACGATTTAACTTGTCCTTTCAATATTGCAAGGGCATGCCCTAGTTGAAATTAAAAATTCCAACTATTAATTGTTTCTGCATACTATGTAATTTCTGGAAAGTGCTGCTGCTTTGAATAGAATTCGCGTTTTAATAGTTATTATTTCAAGTAAATAGTCTGATGTCGAAATATGTTTGACTTTTACCAAATATTTTGTATACTTATGAAGTCATGCTCTCGATTTAAAGAAAGCAGCAGCACTTTTCAAGTTAAGGAACATATCCTTTAGTTATATTCAAAAAATGGTCAAGGTTTATTTAGTGTATGCCCTTGCCAAAAAGCGATTTTATGAGGCACCTCGAATAGGAATAAAATATACCTAACCTAACGTTAAAACACGACAGAATTATTTAAATACACTCTCTCGATAGTTGATGAATAATCGCACTTAACAAAGGATATACATTAGTATTATTAGCCTATTAAAAACCTGTAAATAATATTCTGTTTTATAATAAAACGCATATTTTATTGTTAAAAAATTCCCAGATCTGCCTCTCACAGTACATGAAATACGTCATTTTTACCAAAATTACGTCATGATTGACAAGTTCATCGAGATCAGTGATTAGTTTAAAACCAGCTGTATGGGATTTAACTAGCAACTTTTGTTAATGCATTGGTAAGTTTTATTGTTGTTAATTATTTCATTTTCGGGTAATATGATGAATGCATCAAGGTCATATTTTTGTGTGACGTCATAGTAAACTTTTCCCGTGTAAATTAGGCCCCGCCCCCTTTTTCTAGCCTTAACAGTGCTGCGGTTTAAAGGTACATGTATATATGTTTAATACATGGACGAGACACTCTTTCATGATGTACATGTACATACACCTATGATTCTTGTGTTAAACTTCAATTTCATATAAGTAGGTCAATGACCTACTTTTCATGTTAGTGGCCCTTTACTTTTTCTTGGAAATTTTTCACACTATGGCCAATTTTTTCTTTACTCACAAAAATGTACAAGGAACATAAATCTTTAAAAAAATTAAACAACAAAACAGCTTTGCTTCATATAAAGAAATGAAAAGAGTTTGGGCGATCAACTTAATAATTATTACCCTCCGAATTTCCTCTGTCATATTTACATTCCCCCCATTTTAAATCGAATATTTAAAAAATATGAAGAAGAACTCTAAATCATTTATAGCTTCAGGTTTGTTTTGTGGCCCTATTTCTCATGGTATGAATAATAAATGGGGTCAATGATCAAATTATTAAAATATATAGTGTGGATTGATTTTTGTTAATATTTTTTTTTTCATGGCATTCAATCATTTAAAATAATTTATGAGCTTTAGCACATATAAAATTTGCAAAATTATGTTTAGAAAACACATAACCTTTACAATGTAATTTATATTGCAAGAAATAGTAAATTTTTACAAAAATTAAAAATTTAGTCCGTATTTCCTCTGCATTATTTTTCATGGATTTTTATGTCTGTTTATTTTCTTTAAATAACAAAATA